TGTGCATTATCTACAGAAAATCATTGGTAGGATTCTAGAAGTGGAAAAAACAGAAATGTAAATACGCCATAAAGTATGCTATGTCACTCAATTCACTATTGATCAAGAGGAAAAAATACCTCCCAAGAGCTCTGATTATAATCGTACGATCCCCACAACAAGTACGTGTATTGTGAATACGCCGTGAATGCACCGTGAATGCGCCGTGAATGCGATGTGAATGGCCTGCATCAATGACCACCGTAACGAGCTACAATACGCCCACCGACACTCACATGTCAATTGTGAAAGTTTTAACGCAATCGGACCAGCAAGGTTCATTTGGTTTATAAAATTGAGCAATTCACATATATCCGTATTGCAGTATAAACGAATTAAGTATAGTCTTAATTCAAAAATATCTACAAATTAAAACATATTATTGAAACGTCAATTTGATTGAATAAATAACAAAGATAATGAGATCTAAGATTTTCGCGAGTATTCATTTAAATGAAACTAATATTTTTCGGATGTACTACGCGTTTTTTATTTTTATTATAAACTACATACTTTACGGCAACCGAAACGTCGGGAATATGTAGTTTATAGTCAAAAATAAAAAACGCGTATGTAGTACATCCGAAAATATTAGTATCATTTAAATAACAAAGATCCCATGTCTAGTCAATAGCACTTACTAATTACACGTATTAAAATTTTCAACTCAAATAATATACATCACAAAAACTGTTAAACACAATTATATTGCGATGCAATTATCATAATCGTATAACGTTTTCACTTTTAATAACATACTGACTGTTAACAGTTTGAAATTAAACAACAATATCTGAATATTAATTGAAATGTTGGGAAATAAAATCCTAAGTGTTTTGTATATCACCGCGAGATAGTTTTGTTACATTTATTATTATAAACACGATAATAAAGATAGATTATTTGAAATTAAATTTAGTGATAGTTATACGCCATTAATACTAGTAGAAAAACAACAGTATAGAGATCAGATTAAAATACATACATTTTTTTTTTACCTGACCGTTATGATAATTTTTTTTCAGATTTATACAACTGGCTGGTTGTAATATTTGTAATTCCATATTCAAATTATTATTTTTTTTTTATATCAAAATAATGAAAAAAATAAAACATTATTGTAAATGTCTAGCGCCTTTGTTTGTACGGTTTGTTTCAACTGGAGCAATCTCATTAACAATGATCATTAACCTCCATGCGGGCCTCGACCGAGCACTAATTGGCAAACATTATCATCACATCGGTTATAGGTATTAGATTTTATAATAACAATAACAGTTATAATAACAATACAAAATACAATACAATTATATATATGTCAACCCTACATAGTCTAGTGTTGACTGGCAATCAATACTAAAAATAAAAAAAAAACAATATCTTTCAATGAGGTTTAATTAAAAATGGAAAATGGCAACATTAACAAAAAAAATAGAATAATAGACCAGATATTCTTAGTATATGACGTATTAATCAGTAGCATAGCTAGCCGACTGGTAGCACTATTATTTTCTTAACTCTCGTTGCATGAAGTTGTAAATCAGCTGATACCTTGGCCGCGTTAAAAAAATATGTAACGCTCTTAAATTTAAATAAAAAATTTGGATTATACGATTAATGCAAAACAGCTTCATATTGACGATACTTGTTTTGGATATTTACTTCATAGTATTAAATATCTCAATGATATGGATGAAAACAATTCACAGTTCTAAATAATGATTTACTGTCATATATAATTTGTACTATAAACATATCAACGTATATAACATCGCAAATTTTGTAATAATTATAAAAACGAATATATCTTATCCTTTGCGTATTTAGAAAACGTTGCCAGAGTATCATAATAACTATATCGGGACGTTCAGATATTTTCTCATAATAAAAATAAAATAAATAAACACAGCTCGGTAAAATCGTTGCATTTTTCATAATCACAAACAGAATCACCATGACCTATATGTTTTAATGAAAAAGTAATATTATCGATATACCGAAATAAACACACGGTCATATATATTACGTAGAATAAATATATTTTTATGTAAAACTCAATTACATTAATAAAAAAGTATGTACATTACTTATATTATCGACTTATTGAGTGTATTAATTTTATATGAAGAATTTTTTAAAAGGTCGCGATTTTTGTCGTCGTGAATTTAATAAAAAGGTTTCATAGATAAGTCTTTCGACAGTTCAACAATTTTTCGATTTTGAATGCCTAAAATTAATACACCTATTAATTTAAGAAAAAATAGTTTTGGAAATGTATTGACAGTTAAATTTAACTTTTTTTCATTATGAATTCTTGGTTACGAAAAAAATTATAAATGAGCACTCTAATGAGATAGTGGCTTCTATATCTGTATTAATATATTTTCTTTGTTATATAAAACATACATATTTAAGAAAAAAACTATATATTTAATATATATTAAAATATATGTTTGGAAAATAAATAAATTTTATTCAATAATGAAATAACTGACGGCTGCTATGAATAGGAAAACGAACATCTCCCTTCTGATTGAACGCACCGATAGACATCTTCACACCCACGGCATAAAGCACACTGGAGCCAAAACGATAAGTAACAAAAAACATTTAATACTACAGGTTCAATATTAACTTACAAATAAATAATTTGTTATTTTTATATATAACTTTATATATAGATTTTCATTTAATGCCCTAAAATAGGTATTAATTTTTATATTCTTATATCCTTTGAAATTGTGAGTGTTTGAGAAATGGAATTAATAAATTTATAATACTTGCTTTATGAAGACAATTTCTAGGTATAAATACTACACATTAATTTCTACAAAAATAGTACATATATTACTTGTGAAAATCATAAATATATTAATACATTAAATTGTTTTATATAATATACAAACAAATTGCTTTATACAATATTGTTTAATTTCAATATACATTGTTATTACAGGTACATATCGATGAAACTATAAAGTGAGATAGTCTTATTTATATTTTGCATATAAATGACTATTCTAATTAAAATGCTTCATAGCCTTCCATACAAAATTTGTCTTGTATTCTTTGAATACCATATGTTGGCAGACATTCAAAATGTGTACCAGAAAAATACATTATATGATATGAACTGAATAATTCAATATTATTAATTGAATTAAAACAATAAACTTGCTAGAAAATTATTTTGTCATATCAAATATATATAAATGAATTAATTTAAATTTTAAATCATAAAATTACCAAGTAAAGCACTAGGCTAGCATAAATATTGAGAAAAACAGTATATCTTTTATAAACTCAATGTTGACCTCAAAATGACAAATCGGATACATTTGAAAGTCAACTATAGATTTAGGTAGATATTTTTTATTTTTGTATAAAACATCAGAAGGCCAATATTTTTTTAATGCTCTTTGTATAATGAACAAACCTCCATGAACTGAATTGTGCTTTGTTTAAATAAAATTATATTATGTTGAAGAATGGTAAAGTTTAGTGTGAAATGTGTATAAAAAATTTTGTTCCCAAATATATTATTTCTGTTTTGGAAAGTTAAAAACAATTTTTAAATGTATTTTAGAAGTCTGAATTTTAACTAAAATGGGCTAAAAATTAATTTATCTATCCATTATTTATAGTTAATTAAGTCAAGTCATTCATAGATAATTCATATAACATGTTGTATTGGTAGAGAATGAGCCTAATGCAATATTAAAATCACGAAGCTTTAATCCGATGAGGCCACGTTAAATATTCAACAGAAAATATTTAGGTACAGTCCACGCCTCGCCAAGAGAAAGGAGACGTTAGAGAAACAAACAAAAAGACTGCCACTTCGTAATCTCTTTGTAACAAAAACTGTAAATACCTTGTCTCCAGGAATGTTTTTGGCCGACATGGTGCGTCACCTTCCAGTTCTTTTATTCGACGTCGTCTTGAGGACGATTTATCCAAAGTAAGGAGCTCAATGTTGCTGCCAGCCCAGCATACGACACAAAACACTTCACTTTATCAATCACTCGGCCATCATCACAGATCGAACGTTGCATTAAAAACACAAACACAATAACCGAGCCATCGTTTGGCGTCGTAATCAGCACGATTTCCCATTGAGATTCATCGGTACTAATAATTTTTCATATCACAACACACAAACACAGCGACTGACAGAAGCTAACTTGATTGAGGTTGACGGAAAATGGCGAGGGATAGCTTCTGCCCCCCTCTCATGCCGCGCATGCTATACGGTCTTCGGGTGTCGGTCATTTATATAGTGAACACTTCTCACCCTAGATGACACTAATGTGAAAGTATATATCATGCTATAACTCTATTTAGTACCTCCTTTTATTGCAAGAGGGCATTGTTCATAAGAATAAAAGTTATACAAAATAATTATAAATAAATCATTGTAAATATTAAAATTGTGTCGTTAAAGTTGAAAATTTTAATTATAACTGTTTGGTCAAAATAGTGAAAGAAGTAAAGGTACATATGTGTTACAAATGGTTTTTCTTAAGAAGAAAAACATATTATTGAAATGATATGATACATAAAAATACAGAAGTAATGTTATATTTTAATTTAAATCGATGGTACAAGAAATTAATAATATATTCTAATTTTTGAAAATGTCTTCCCACGAACTATTTTACCGGTTATTTTTATAAAAAAAAAACATTACAAGAACGGTACTTACAAATTTTTCATGGTTAAATTGTGAGTGTTAGTAACTTTATCTAAATGTACTTTTGAATTACATTTTTGTAAATGTAATAGAAAACCGTTTATATTTTATATATTATTGACTTTGAATATTTTTCTTATACGCGAATCGGAATCGAATCGTTAAAATGAATGTAGTATGTCACGTCACTATGAAGTATAAGGAAACAGCGCCAAACAACAAGAGTTCCATAAACGAAGCGTCCACACTCCACAACTCGATTCGCAAAATGGCGGATGGAGGCGTGGATATAGATTTATACGCTGATGATATTGAATCTGATTTTAATAGACAGGTAAGTTTATAACATATATTATAATTAAGCATACATCTAATAATATTTATTTTATTAAATAATACATAAAACTTCTATAATAACGTATCAACCGCGACGCCGCTTTCAGGATGACTTTGGAGGAGAAAATGTCGACTTATACGACGACGTAATAGCGGCGCCAACAGTGAAAAACGAGGATGGAGATGGGCCACCGAACTCATCAGCCGCTCCGCACTCCCATCCACCTGAGGAAACAAACGGTTCCGTTCCTTACCACAACAACGCACCTAGTCACGGACATCATGGCCGCCGTTTTCAACTTTACGTCGGCAACCTCACTTGGGTTTGTACATGATTTTCTTTTAGATTAAACATGTAAATAATAGGAACTATCGTTTTATATGAAATATCTGTTACGTGCTAACAGATGTTTATAAGGACTGTTATCTGTTTTAGTATATATCAAGTACTTTTATTGATTTCTTGGCTGAGGTCCCGACATTAACTCATCTCTGTTTTTTTAATATCAAGTCTGGCTATATCAGTTTAAAATAATAAAGGAATATAGTGATTTTTTAAAATATAATTTGTGTATTAAACAACAAGCACTTAAATAAAAACAATAGATAGCAGTCCTAGTGATAAATGACCAAATGAACATGTAAATTTTATAAATATGTGACTGACTAGTGTAAATATATTCTATGTTATAATAATAGGAATATATACACAAAATGTACTTACTAAAATGGCTAAGGGTGTTTAAATTGTGATATATTAGTCTTTTATATGATTGTTTTTCATGTTTTGTAAACAATTTTGGGAATATAAAAGATTTATCAACATTATTTATATAAAAAAGATATAAGAAATGTCTGTCTGTATTTTTTTAATAATAAAATAAACTGTCCAGATTTAAATGATCAAAGAATTTTAATGTGATTTACTTATAATAAGGGGTTTATTGTAAAGTGTTCTATTTAACTGTACTGTATTTAACATAATTTGAATTAAAATTTTGTATTTTATTTAAAAAAATTATAATTAATATTTGGTAAATTTTTACAATTTCATTTGGTTATTATCAATGTAGTAGTATAATGCTGCTGTATTTTGTATTAATTTATAAAACATGGTAGCATTTTATTTTAAGTGATTATTTGGCTATATATTTACTATGGAATATGCTACATGATATTTTTATACACCTGATCTAGCATCATTATGTAATTTTTTTAACTGTTCTTAAAATCTTTTTGATATTTAAAAAATTTCACAAATATTTCGAAACTTCTAGGTAGACTATACGTTTTGAAAATTAATAATAGTCATATAATGATGCTTTATCACAATTTTTTGGCAAAAACAAGTAAATAATGTAACTTGATTGGAATTGAACATATTTTATTGAAAATTTTAATATCTTTGTGTCAAGATGGAAACATATTATTGCAAATTTGATTTTAACATTATTATTTATTTAATTTTGAAATTTTGTTATTGTCACTTATGCAAGAAAGGTTACATATAGAAAGCTTAGACATGTGGACTTGTAACTTGTTTTTGCGATATACATAGAAGTTTTCACAGAATTTAGTTAAGAGATCTTTTTTTATATTTTTGTTGTCATATCATTATCATAGCAAATTGATGATTGAGTAGAGAAAAGTCACATAAAAGGAAAAATTCTATAATTCCTAGCACTTTAATGGGTAGGGAGTTACTTCTATTATTATTTGACTTGTAAGTTAAGTTCAAAGGTTTTAACGGATAGACATGCCGATATATGGCTGCTTAAATTGTGACTTATTGTTTTTAAGGTTTGATTGGGTTAATTTAATATGTGTAGCACTTATGTATCAATATGAAACAAATGCCACAGGTGTAATACTATTACAAGACCCTGAGTTTGCATTTGGTTTCTAAAGAATGGTTATGTTTTATTTGTGTTAACACTAAATGTCCTTTTTCTTATCACTAAGAGATATTTATGTATTTGTCATTTTGTATATTGATATTTGGCTGGTTCATGTCCATATGAGAATACTATTTTATAAAAATTATAATTTTAATGTAATACTCATCAAAACTACAGTAACTCATTCATATGATTCATAAGATAAAGATGATTTCAATGTGTGTTTACCAAATTTAAGCTGTAGGTTTGATTCCTATATGACTTATATATTTTAAAAATTGTTGCGATTCTATAAGTTAACTCAATATTAGCGATGCATTTATATGTATATAATATAACAATAATTATATATAATTAAGCATATTATACAGAGCTATTAAATTAATTGGTTATATGTTTTGTAAATATACCTAGTGATAAATTCATATAAATGTAAACATCACAAATCTATTTATATTTTGTTTACATACATAAATATCTCTTAATATTTCAATGTATGCCTGGGATTATTTATTACAAGAGGATGTATGAAATGATTTTATGTATGGCAAGTTTATAATATTGATAATGTTTCCAAACTTTATACTAATAATTTATTAATTGACAAATGAGTTTTTGTTTTCATTTTACTGATAATGCAAAATGTAATTCTGACCATAAAGTTATTATATATTCTTGCATAAGGTATATATAGTATAGTCGAAATAGTTTTTGTATATTTATACTGGTGGGTATTTTGTTATAAGAAATATCAACTTGCTTTAATATATATATTTAAATCAGAATAATGGGTGAGAAATGCATGCGACTTGAACATGAAAAAATTTTGATTGCATTTGAATTCATTATATTTAATGTTTTTTATCAGGTTTGCAAAAAGGTAAGGATTTTTGGCTTGTAAGTGTAGCACTAGATAAAAATTTGTCTACTGATAACATTTCTATTATCTCCATATACTGGAATAAATGAAAAATATGTACAAACGGTATATTTAACATATTATTTATATTAATAATCGGTACCATCTTAACTTTATTAAAGAATATATTTTATTATATGTAACTTCATAAGTAGTAAAGTGAAAATGTAGGTTGTGAAATGTACAATTTTTTTGTACTGTGATTGTTTCGTCTTGTATATTGGCTCAGATTTTCGCGTTTTATTTATATATGTTCCATAGACACTACCTTATTATTTCAATTCTTTCTTTGTATATTCAAAATATAACAAAACATTGTTCCAAAAATCTCTCCACTGATTGTATGCAGAACAGATTTGTGCTTAATTACTGAATTCCAATGTAATTTTCAAATATATGAATGTCTCTCCTATATCTATTAAAATACTAATTTGACTAAGACATTTAAATGCATTTAGTTACTTATTTAAAAAAAATCTAATAATAATAATATTTAATTGATATGTTAATCTGAATAAGTGTATATTAATGTTTAATATTGTTAAAATCCCTCCTTCCTTATTGTTTATGGAAGTTATCCGATATAATTAATTAAAAAAATTATAGCAGTATGTTAACTGCTTATCTGCGTTATAATATCCAATTTTTATTGACTGATGATGTTATACTGATAATAAAGGATGGTCAAAAATAACACTGTTTCCTTTTCACCCAACGTTTTTCCTATCGTGGAAAAGAGATAGGGACATATAGAAACAAAATAAGAACACGCTTTATTTATGCAAGAGAAATATTATGTAAGGATGAATGAATGAGCTGAGCGATCTGATAATGACCGGTCTAGGCACAAAATGATTAGAATATCGCGTTCGATAGACAAACTTAGTGCTATATTATGATTTTATAACGAGATTCGGACGGTCGAAATACAAGCACAGAGTCAAGTATGTATTTTGTATATCGCTTCTCATCTTATGTGATAGCATTTCCCATAGTTTTGGATACGTATTTTGCAGTGGGCTACAGATCAAGACATAGCTAACGCGATCGCTGATATCGGCGTGACGGATTTTCAAGATGTCAAGTTCTTCGAGAACAGGGCGAACGGACAGTCGAAGGGATTCTGCGTCGTATCTTTGGGGTCCGACCAGTCCATCAGAATGGTCATGGATCGACTGCCTAAGAAGGAGATACATGGGCAACATCCAGTTGTCACACTACCAACCAAACAGGTAAAAACAAAAATTAAATTATTAACGAAAAATCTCTGAATGAAATACACATATATAGACAATTTAACATAATAGCAGTTCTAGAATCAGAATACTTCATTACATGATTAAAAACTCCAGCGAAATTAGAGAATGTTTGATACATGTATAGTATTTAAAATTGCAAGTAAATAATGTTGCAGGCATTAAACCAGTTTGAAAGCCAATCTAAGACGCGATCGACCCCGCCGGGTCCTAATCCTGGGATGAGGGGGGGACCCCACGGACCTGGAGGTCCGCCTGGACCCCATCCAGGAGGTAATTAATATTATATGGAAAATTGTAATCACATACCACTTGTATTAAAGCTTTTATGTTAAATCAAATACAGTGTAAACTATATATAACGACACTGAAGGGACTGCATTTTATGGCATTATAGAGAGTTGTCGTTAAATCGAGTGACGTTACATGGAGTTTACACTAATTACAAACAAAATTGCCACAATACATTTTTAAGCAGCACATCTTAGGTTTCCAGTGAAAAAAATACAGCATGTGACTTCATATACAGGGTGACTGGTGAATTACTATCAATATTTAAGGAGCATACTCGGTACATGATTCTCATTCGAATTATGTAAAAAAAATAGGTACTTAATTTTTGACCAAATTTCCGTATAAATAAATAAAGTGTGTACACGTTCCAAGTGTGGACGCGTGCGGCTACGTGCTGATACAACAACACGCCTCCGCGCGCGTATGTGTGAGTGTGTGTGTATACCTAATCTGTAGGGTGTTCATACGATGCGTAATTAATTACATAACTTTTGGTTAACTTTACTTAGAAGTTTATTAATATTTATGTTATATTAATTTTTATTTTGTCATATATGATTGTCAAATATCACGTCCTCTAATATCGATAGTAATTCACCAGTCACCCTGTATAAGGATTTAACGCTAACATTATGTCTATTCCTTTGAAATAGAATGTAATGACTCCATATTGTCTCCATACAGAATTTTTCGGTGGAGGCCCTAACGGTCCCGGTCCCAACGGTCCGCGTATGATGATGCCGGGCCCAGGCCCGCATCACCAGCTGCGAGGCCCGCCGCCCGGGCCTCACGGGCCCCCGCCGCACCACATGCCACAGCACCAGGGCCCGCCGCCGCACCACATGCCTCCACATCAAGGCCCCCCACCACACCAAGGGCCCCCGCAGCATAGGCCGCCGATGCAGGTAGTTTAACACATAAGGAACCTAAGTATTAGTGAATATTAATGACTCCTCTTTCTTAAGATTTTATGTATAGCATTCATACAATTGTGTTTGGTCCATATAGTATTGATCATATCATCGACATATACTAATGGACATGCCTTAGAGATGAGAATTGTGTCACTCCGAAAGAAAGAGAGGAAACGAAGTTTCGGTCTATCTTTATCTCTCTCAAATTTATATACCGTGCTTGTCATGAAAACAGCGCCAATCATCTATGAGGAAAGAGATAGTGCTTGACCGACAGCCTAGGCTATCTATCTCACTCTTTTCAAACCAAAAAATTACTGTAAATAATACGCGTACATCATGTCCATTAGTATAAGTAGATGAATCATATATAAATGGGAAATATTGTTAGGATGACATAATGTAGCTTTTATACAAAAAAAAAATATTATGCAATTTGACAGTAATGTTGCTAATAGACACCAGAAATATGTACATATGGGCTACCCCAATACCCTTATAAATACCCTTCAGTTAAATGAAACTAATATTTTCGGATTTACTACGCGATTTTTTTTTTTAAACTACATACCAAATAATAAAGACCCTAAATCTCATTATTCAATTCTGTTAGTTTAGGAAACACTTATTTTTTGTATTATGTTAAGTCTCGAGACAATGTCTCTAGATGTCGCTGCCAATTGGTTAAAATACTTATAGTTTTAACATAGTATACATTTATCTAACCCTTGAACTTTGCACGACGTACGAAAAAAGTAGTATATGAGAGACGAGACGAAACCTCTTAGCATTCAATGGATTCAATGGTGCCGGGTCCATCGTTGTAGTGAGAGGAGCTTCAACAGTGCCTGGGACTTGCGACCCAGGTGTAGGTTTAAGGGCCTACCTAACGCGCGTTAACAGCTCACCTCCACTGTCCAAGCTCCTCTCTCTACCAAACTACTCTAAACAAATTTGAAAAGAACGTACTAGGGCTATACGCGTTATACGCTCAATGTATTAACCCACACTCATCTTAAAGTTCCAGGGTCCGCCTCAGATGCAGCGTGCGGGTCCCGGAGGTCCCGGGCCGGGCGGCCCCGGCCCGGGGCCCGGTCCTCGAGGTCCCGAGTGGCCCCGACACCTGCCGCCCGCGCCGCAGTACGGACCCCCGCAGCATCAAATGCCGCATCAGATGCCTCCACCTCACGCTGTAAGTCTACAACAAACAGACATATTGAAAGTCTTTATAACTTTAATATGAATTATAATGTTCATCTATTCGCGTATTGTTTTTTAAGGGTACTAAGTTTTTGTTTCATATATTAATACTAGAAGACCCGGCGACCTTGTATCGCCCTATAATCTAGAAATATCTGTTACGTTTTTTTATTTATATTTTTGAAGTTTACCTATAAGCCATAAATCTCCGTGTTCTGAAGTGCGACAGAATGATTGACATATTAGTTAGTTGTCAAATTTAATGTCAAAAAAAAAGTTTGTATTAACGAGTACTAATAAATTCAAAATTGATTTTAAAAAACATTGTCCAGCAGACAACATTGTAAATCTAAACCATTCCCAAATCCTTTTGAACACACAAAAAAATTCATTAAAATTGGTCCAGTCGTTTGAGAGAAGTTCAGTGACATACACACTCACAGAAGAATCATACATATAAAGATTATGGCTTATTTTATTTGGTAAAATAAATATAAGTAATGATTTTAAAAATCTTGAATGTTATTTTGGTAAATCTCTTTTTCTTCTTACTTTATTTTATTTTGTATTTTTTTTAATGCTATCAGGTTTAAGCTAATAACAGCAGGGATCTGTAACTTCTTGACAATATGAAGTATTACTTACTAATATATATAATATCAACTTATTAGTTATATACAATTGCTATTTCCAGGGTCTGCCCCCGCCGCATCATCAACTACCGCCTCATCAGCAAGGCCCGCCCCGAGGACCGGCGCCATTACCGCAACACCCAGGTCAATACAATAGTATTAATAAATTTCTTATAGTATAATAATGATAATACATAATTCAAAGAAAATATGATAAAATGAAGGCAAAACAGACTATATTAATGACAATTGATTTGACAAATATAGTTCAACGGGATGGCTGTTATTTGCTTTCAAATGAACCTTTTTTATATTATGTACATTTCTTCTTGGATTCTTATTTTGTCATGTTTTGTTCGAGATGTCATCAAAGTTTCCTCAAAGATATTATGCTGAAATGCTGCAATGAAGGTTAGGGTACTGGTCAAAAATATAAATGGATTCTAAAAGCTATAAACTATTGATTTAGCTAATCTCAATCTATACAGCATGTTTTTTACACGCGGTATTTTCAAAATTATAATATATTTCGATACAATAAGCGATTTCACAATATGAAAAATAAATGTTGGCCGATTCTCAGAACTACTCAATATGCTCACAAAATTTCATAAGAATCGGTTAAGCCGTTTCGGAGGTGTACGGGAACGAATATTGTGACACGTGAATTTTATATATAAGATATATTTTGTTGTTCAGGTGTGGGCGGAGCGCCGGCTCCTCACGTGAACCCGGCGTTCTTCAGTCAACAGCCTCCCGTACAACCCGCGCCCGCTGTACAACCACCGCAACCCGCTCCACCAGGTATTAATAACATAAACAAACACATAATCTTTTATATATTTTCATTAAGAATTTTTACTATGGTGATACTATTGGATTATAATGGAGATGAATGGAAAGGCTCTGTGTCTAATTTAAAGATTCAAACTTGTGGTATAACTACTTATAAAAATTTAAATTCGTATCGCCCATACAGTTTATACAATACCACAATTTATGGTGCAATTAATGATATATATAGAAGAAGAACTATTAATATTATCCACAACATGATCCATAATACGTAATAACTATCACTTTACATCAACAATAGCATTTTTATATGAATATGTGTTAAGGACCCGGCGGACCTTACGGTCACCCAGCGCACGCGCCCCCTCCCACACAGGGACCTCCACCGGGAGCCAGGCAGCCTTATGGAAGACCACCGGCTGTAAGATAACATATAATATTATTATTACCGATAATATGTTATTAGTATTGAATTTTGATCACTATCATTTGTATACAGTGAACAACTATATCTAAATGAAACTAATATTTTCGGATTTTACTTCGCTTTTTTTATTTTTTTATTACAAACTACATACTCCCGACGTTTCGGCTACTTTTCAACAACCGTGATCACGGGCAGACGAGATGTGTATGTTTCATTTAAATGAGTACTCGCGAAAATCTTAGAAGAACTATATCTTTGGAAGATTAAATGTAAATCATGCCCGTACAATACTGCGTCATAATTGTTTATTTAAAATTAAACTTAAATTGAAAATGTAAATGGAAAAATTATCGATACGAGAGTTAAAGAAGATAGGTACTTCCCAACAGTTTACCAATCAATGTACTTATCTTTCATTTAAAAATGAAACTAATGTTTTTCGAATTTTTATATATATAAAAATGAGTTGCTGTTCGTTAGTCTCACTAAAACTCGAGAACTGCTGAACGGATTTATCTTATCTTAGTCTTGCGATGTTCGTGGAGGGTCAGGGAAGGTTTAAAAGCTGAAAAAAATTAATCATTTCCGAGAAAACCCTAAAAACAGCCCTTTTCTATTTCCCATACAAAGTTTTTTTGACATTAGATTTTACAACTAACTAATATGTCAATCATTCTGTCGCACTTCAGAGCACGGAGATTTATGGCTTAAAGGTAAACTCCAAAAAAATAAATAAGAAATTATTTATTTCTTGATTGAGGCAGTACGAAGTCTGCCGGGTTAGCTAGTATATAATAAAACTCGCGAAAATCTTCGATCTCATTACTTATCGTTCACTTGATTAGCGTTTTGAAGTTTTCATACTACACTATCTATATGAGTTTATACCATATTTTATTGCTTCGTTGTTAACATAACTTCTTAATGTTGTTTATATCTATTTCCAGAGCTACCCGCCCACAGACGGTCGCGGCGCTCACCATGCGGCGCCACTAGGTGTGGGTCACGCGCACGCAGCCCTAGCGCCTCACGCGCCGCACGCTCCTATCAGCGAGGTTGAGTTCGAGGAGGTGATGAGTAGGAACAGAACCGTGTCTTCGAGCGCCATCGCTAGGGCTGTCAGCGACGCGGCCGCTGGGGAATACGCTTCGGCTATAGAAACACTCGTCACGGCTATATCACTCATCAAGCAGAGTAAGGTGAGGACATACAAACTAATTGACGTGATAATTGACAAGTCACTGGTGGCCTAGTGGCTACAGGGCCCGCCTCTCGTTGCCGAGGGCGCGGGTTCGATCCTGGTCCAGCTTTACCAATGTGATTTTTCCGAGTCATATGTACTTTCTAAGAATATTTAGACATCACTGATTAATGCATTCGCAAAAGAGGGTTGATATCAGGCAGGCGGCCGGTCGTAAAAAAACAATTAGCCGAAACTATGCACAACATGTTAAGGCAGACCCTGCCTATAGCTGGGAAATTGCCAGGTAGAAGATACAAACTAATTGACAATAACTTATTCGTCCTACTATTAAAATGGAAGTGTCTGTCAGGATGTATTGATACATGTATATGATGTTCTTTCAAGTTAAATACACAGAGACGATTTTTGTCAAATGCAATTGATATAATAAAGTAGGCCAGACATCAGAATAACATTTATTCTATATTTAATCCCTTATTTGCATTTGAACTTCTCACAATACTTCTTTTGTATGAAGTAATATGATACACTATAGACGTCGATGCCTTTTAGTTACATCATATATATTTTTTGCCCCGTTTCCTGAATACAATTCCAGGATTTAAAATAGTTTCTAGTTGTTGACACCCACTAGTAATTTCTAAATAAACGTTACCGAAACTTTGCTAGATGCTAATCATTGTATCATTTGGATTATAATTTAAAATTTGTGTTAACATCAGGTGGCCCACGACGATCGATGCAAAATATTGATATCGTCTCTACAAGACACTCTACACGGTGTAGAGACTAAGTCGTACGGTGGTGAACGAAGACGATCTCGCTCTAGGGAGAGAGATGCTAGAGCTCATCATAGAGCTCCAAGAAGAAGGGAACGATCGGCTTCAAGATACAGGGACAGGTCACGGGATAGAGACGATAGGGATCGGTGAGTTATACCCTAATAGATATGATCGTGTGTGAGTGCGTGCGTGCGTGTGTGTGTGCGTATAATGTATATCATACATAATGAGTGACAAACCTTTTCCTGTACCCTGTAATTACTGATTACATACAACTAATACTCTAACAGCCAACCCAGCGACAGGTTGAGCTATTTTGTTTGCATTTAATACAAAAAGAAGATTATAATTTAATACTAACAACAAGGGATTATCGATTTGCTTATTAAAGTAATCAAATCTATAAAGTAATCACTTGATTACAGGTACAGGGAAAGGTCGAGGGAACGCGACCGTGAGCGCGACCGAGACGCGTAAGGAATAGATTTATGTATTTAATACGCGGATTTTATGAATCTGGGTTTATATGAGAGTTGTAACATGTTACAATGTTAATGTTAGTATGATACTGATGTTTTGATGTTTTCAGATACTACAGGGACTATCGCGAGAGGGAAAGAGACAGGTCTAGGTCGAGGGACAGAGAACGAACAGATCATTATAATAGAGGACACAGTCGCGAAGAAAGGTGAATATAACATGTTTTAGTATATATAAATCAGTATTTGATCTCACAAATACTACTCACTTTCGAATGTACTGTGTATACTGAAATCCAACTCTCGTTAATTCCAACCTGCGATAATTCGAACCTCTATAATTCAAAGTTATCACGTGTTCCCTTCAAAATCTCTTTATATTTCGATCAAAATCAATACATTTTTATGCAATTGGTAATTGCGGAGAGAAAAAGGTCGAATGATTGTAATGTAAGTAAATTTGGGCACAAGTTCAAACTTGAACAAACGTAAATGTACGTGTATGTACTCCAAACTTTATAGCAGTTAGTAATTATTGATCAATACTCAGTATGTAATTCGAACTTTTATTTATTTTCTCCCACAATTCGAACTATTTGATATTTCAAACATTCGATAATTCGAAATATTTTAAGTCCCTCTAGTTTCGAATTATCGAGAATCGATTGTATTAATAAAAAAAACATATTCTGATCTTGCGAATAGGTATATGAGACGGACTAACTACAATATAAAAATAAGGAACCATAACCAAATTAATTCGTACAATAATAAGCGTGGTATATATCAATGACAACGATATCTGGTTCTTAAGTATGTTAACTATAGTGACCATTCATATTTTTTATTTCTATTTACATATTGCTTTTTATATTGTTTCCAGGCCACGTAAGTCTCCAGTAGAGGCGGTTGCAGAGGGAGGCGCGGGGGACGCGGCGGCTAAAGGTCGGCCAGCGGCGCCCTACTACGACGAGAGGTACCGCGAGAGGCGGGACCGGGAGCCCCCGCCGGCGGACAGGGACCGCGACCGGGACCGCGACCACCGCCGGGACACGAGGCACTAGTGACGTCACACGCGTGATGACGTCACACACAACACGATGACGTCATCCGCGCCTTCGTGGTGGATGTCGATTTATACATAGAAGCAAATAGTGACGTCATTGATTCAGACTCATGACCGACTAGAGTATGAAGTGATCGCTACCGTAGAACAATTGTTACATATAGTCGGGATAGTGCAAATCAGCGTATCTATCTACATTGAAAGAAAATTATCAGAAGAAAGTTTAAGGCTTAAGCTATATATTTTCTATATTAACGACTTTGAATGTAATTTTTTCACAATTAGTAATTATTTAGTGTTTGATATGTGAATTGTGGAAAAATCACATTAATGTAGAAAATATTTCAGCTAAGCTTTCTTCTGATCTGCTTCCAAAGTAGATACGCGGAATTATCTAATGGTAGTTACGTGGATTTGCATGACCCCGACGATATACTTCTCACAATGTAATATTTGTTTATTGTAATCATGACTCATACACTACTAGGTCACTGAGCTGTCTGTAGTGAAGTTTGTTTTGTGTAATCCTTTATTTTTAATCACCTCCGTATGTTTCACCCGATTGTAAATTATTGTGCATACATTGTATTTTTGTGAAAACTGGATTCTAAGTGTGTGGAAAGGTACAAATTGAGATAAATGTTTGCAATAATTAGTCGTATTGTCACCGATTTAGATGTTATAGTTCCGAGGCAGTGTTTATAAATGTTTTATAAATATTGTGACTACATAATATATAGTCAGAATAAGAAGTCAACTTCCAAATTATATTTCATTTGCGATATGATAACGCTAGTAATTTTCGGCGATGTTCGTAGTGCCTTATGGAACTCGGAATATAAGGAATTATTCTTTTTTTTATTGAACAAAGTTAATTCAAAATGTAACTTTATAATAATATCTAATAATAATTGTTATAATTTTCTTCTAACTTCGTAACGCAAATGAACTATGACTTACTAATGAGGATTTTGTCATCACTTGAACGAGCAAAGTAAGAACAGTTTTTTTATGTTTTTGGTTGAATTCTTCTAGAATATTCTTTGGTTCTTGAACATTTTTACTTTCTCGTGTAGCTCTTCTCCGCTTTCACAGCAAAAAGGTTGTATTCGTACAAGGAAATTGCATGAGTGACAAAGTATAAGTTATCTATATGTCTCTTAACTACCTTAACATCGAACACAAATTAATGTCGAAATTATTTCATACATTGAAAATAAAAATTATAAATGATTATATGTATTTCCATTTTATTATTGTGAGTATATTTTTGCAGACATTCAAAATTTAATGTTTTTAGGCACAGTGCACATATGTGTATGTATTTGTGTTTTTAAAAATGGAAATGTTCCACATTCCATTTTTCGAGTTGACGAATTTCGGGAAACATTTTATAGATTTTTGTTACGAGAGTAAATCTATATTTGTACCGTGTTATGTTCAATAGGGATTCGATAAGTAAAATTAGAGTATTTAGGACGTAGTTGTAAGTATGTTTACATGGACCTGTTCCATACTGATTGAAACTGAGTTTTAGGATTTATTTCCTTAAATAAATTGATGTACCATTAATTCTTGTTTTATTAACACTTGCTTATAGTCCAAGAGCCCACTACGCTATAGTCATTGGTCGATCTTACCTGTATAGGTTTGGCCGTCGTGGGCTCTTGGGCTATTACACTTAACATGGTTTTAGAAGTATTCCAAAATTCTATTTTTCCAAAGTTTTCCAGTATTTGATCTAAATCTAACGTCAAGAGCTAGTATTAGAATAGATGGAATGAAAAAAAGTTTTATCTTAATTTTTATTTCTTTACATACTTATACAACGTGTAACGTAATTAACGCACACCCTCAAACACACCAATTAGAATATAATAATATAAACGCAATGCATACACCAAATATTATTTATATGTGCGTTTGCATTTTTTATTTGTGAAATTAGTTATCCCAATTTCGTGCAAATAATATGGTCAGCTATTCGCCAACACTCCGCTGCACACGCACACACAGACAGACACTATGTACTCGCCGCGCCCGCGCCCCTCTCTCCGAGTGCCGTCCGACAAGTAGTACTTAGGTAATAATAAGTACACGAAATAACATGATTTATGATTTTTCTTTCCATGACACTTTTTAAGCTTTAGATTGTTGACATTGAATTTTTTTTAATGTGAAGCCAATATTTTATAATTACTGATTTGTTAAATTAAATTTGTAAATAAGAATTATTAAACAGCTGATAACGCGTGATTTGATTAGACACCACAATACCTACGACAAAGTCGGCGTGTTTAAATGGTGTGAATCAAAATATTAACAATAATTTAAAGATCATAAACAAACTTACAGTTTAATTTGCACTCGCACGGCGTTGTCGTTTTAAAACATTTTCAAAATGTCCACCGCCTTGTTCAATGCACTTTAATGACCGTTTCCGCAATTGTGTTTTATTTTAGATAATACTGCAATGTCACTTTTCATTTTTACAAAGGCGGTTATTATCTTATTTTTTAGTTCCTCGAAACTTGTTGTCCCTGTGTTATAAACTAGCGATTTAATTTACCCCCACAAAAAAAAGTCGAGTTGTGTCAAATCAGCTGATCTAGGAGGACAATGGACTCCCGCACCCGGGGGGGCGTGAGGGGTCCGCCAATAGGTGGGCAATCGCCAGCGGGGGGTTGGATGTAAACCAGATTCCCAGCCCCCTGCCAGTCAGGCGAGGTCGGAGCGCCACTGGGTTATTTTAGTGGGTATACCGGAAATTCTTTCCCGGGGAGTACCACATACTCCTCTCCGTCCCCGACGGGGAGGGGATGCGTAAAGTATTTTTTCCCAGTGCGCCCAAAAAAAAAGGAGGTCAATGGACACGTGCGTAGGTAGTTGATGTGTGCCGACTGTCGCTGTTGGTGTTGCGTGCGTAGGACGACTGTAATTTACTTAGTTCTAGCTAAATTTGAGAAAAAGATGACCTACATAAAAAACTATAAAAATCGATCCAGATACCGTTTCTGAACAAACTACTTTCAGGGTGTGAGTTAATTATGTTACACGTTGTATACTAATTTGGCGACAAATGACCAAAACGGAAAGCAACTCCATTTTCAAATATGGTAAATTTGAAGTTAAAATGGTAAGTTAAATGTCTCTGCAAAGTAGGTAATCCGAGCCCCGGCCAAAATTAAGATTTGATTAGTACATACATATATACGAAGCTAATCCGAAAAGTAAGGTTTTATTTAAATCTGTATTACGCCAACAGATTATCATTGCCTTATTATCTTTCATAAGACAAAGTTACTTGGTCAATCTGGTTCCACTCATTAGAGCCACAAGAGAATAAGTCAAAATAAGGGTTAGAACAAACACTATGAAAAATAAAAAATAGTAAAAAAATTTTTAGAAGGCACATACAGAAACCATTTCGGCTCCTTAACAATTTATTTATGATAAATCTATTTAGTATGTATTGATAAATGAGAATGTTTTTATTATTTATATAGATCAGCCATCCGCAACCTTTTGGTAGTTAAGTGCTACATGGCGAGAAAATGAGGTAGACGCGTGTCGCGCTTTTACATAATTTTGATAATAGGTCTATCAATATTCTACTATCGGTCTATAAATACTCTTTATAACACCACAATTATACGAATATGTAATGAAACAAATGCACCAGACGGTCTTTTTATGTGTATATGTATTATATGGGTTTTCACTCTTTAGCGGTGCTGGATTTACTTTCTGGACATCAAAAATCTTCATTTCACTAGGAATCTTTACGAAATCGTTAAATATGTCACTAAAGTGACCTTGCAGTTGTTTTAAAATGTCTTTCAATTCATAATTTTTAAAAGTAAATATTATGCCAAGTTCCTCGATAGCTATTTTATATTATAGATATTATTTTTAATTATAGATCCGCTACGAATCTTCGGAGTTAGTAAATTGTTGTGCAACAAGTATTGTTGGCGGTATTGGCAAAATTCGCTAAAGTTGACTAAAGTTGACTGAAAGCTGGGGTAGAAAATTTGATAATTTAAATTAAACCGACGAATTATGTGGAAAAGATAATACTTGCTACTTACAGAACTTTCTTTAGTGGAAAAATGTAATGTTAAGTTTTGTAACATTCCAATTGCGTTCTTCTGTTGTTAAGCTTTTTTTAATTTGTTACAACTATGATCTCATGCGACCATTCCGTTACTTTAAATTAAATTAAATCTTTATATAAGTATACATCAACAATAATCACGAAAACTAAAGAAACAAACCAATATTTATTACAGGGAGTAATTTAAACTGCCTAATCATCACTACACATATTTACAAAGCTGTCTCGTAATATTGTAGATTAAGATTGTACAACTGCCACAAAGGCTTATGGAACTTGTTAATAATAAGACGAGCTACACTACTGGTGATTCTACAAAAGCCGTATGGCTCTCTACGTTTATGAGCTAAGTAAATGGTCTTTAATCATATGACAAAGCTTGATAAATATCCTGTGCCAATAATAGATTACTAATTTTCTGAGTTAATTCGTAATAGGTATTTCAAGAAAATTATCTATACCTACTATCTTCGTGGGCATTAGAGTATTGTGGAGGAAACAAGTAATTTGCTTGGTAAAGTAATTGGCTAAAAGTATTAGGATTGGATAATAATTTATAAAATCAGTAGACAATTAATTAGTTATACCTTATGAAACTAAGATTTCTTAGAGTCGAAACCAAAATAAATCACCAAGTAAATTGCTTCAAGTGTCTACTCAGAACTATAAGGATAAATTTTATTCATGAAGAATATAAAAAACTAAATCGTTAACCGAATTCTAATTATAATATAATGTCACCGTAAACAATTGTATTTAGTTTTTAACGATAAAATATTTCGTCAAACAAATAAGCCGTCTTAAAAGTTAAATTGTTTACAGAAATGACTTTCATAAAGTTGTTTCCCGTTTTTTGTTTATACCAAATTGGAAAGGGTTTA